TACTTTTCAGCTACGTTTTCAAAACTGAAGCCCAAAAACAAAGCATTAGCGATTCAACATCGGAGAACGCTGATTAGATTCACCTTCGGTCTCATTAGTGGTGCTGGGCTGAACCACGAATGCATCTCTGGAATCAACTGTTTTCGAAACACAAGTCTTAGTGAGTGAAGGCGATGGCATCTCTCCTTACGAAGACGACATTTGATTTTTCGACAAAAGACCCTGTGCACGAATATCAAATATGAACAAGGAATCTCACTATCTATTGATCTCGAATTCAGGTCAATAATTGAGTATCTTTCCCAGATATGATGAAGTAGTTTGATGAAGTCTTTTTCTCAATGATATTTCTTCGTTTCAGCTATCAAATTATAGATGGGATTCATAAGATGTTTCGAACTTGTCATACGAGGTCCGGCTATTGAATATCGAGACTGCGAGTACGTTGAGTATCTGCAAATCTTCTCTATTCACCGACCAACACAAATTTTTGTCACTATTATGGTATTTCTACAGAAGCGGTTTGGATCAAACGTTTTTTTTCCTCGTTTGTATAGGAAATACCGAACTTTGGCAATTGATTACGGCCATCTTGCTAAAGCTACATATATCGAATCAGTAGTCTTTTATTCAGTGTTTTTGCCAAATCACTATAAACAGTTATAGCATTCAACAACATGATCAAATAATAAAATTAATTCATCAAAATGGGTGTTCTGTTCTGACAATGTACTGCGCGCTCCGCACATTTTACGGTCGCTATAATCGTTCTACCGAGAGGACTACTCCCAATGTAGTGGATAAATTTGAGTCATCTGGTTCAGTAAACGATCAAACGATCGATCAATACCCATACATCGATGGAACGCAAGATTTGACAAAAACCTTGCCACGGTCTGTGAGAGTGTGAAGGGGAATCGGAAGCCGTCGATTTTGCGTTGCCCACAAGAACTAGATTTTTGCAGACCACAACTTGGCAACTGATTTTAATTTTCCTCAAAAAATCAACTTCAACAATAAGGCCCGTTTTGGGTAGGTAGGCAGGTAGGTCTAAAGTGAGTGGGTCTATTTGACCCTCCACCGCAACTCATAAGGGTTTATTGTGGCTCACACCTATTCACACTCGGCCAAATGAACCCAGCTTCTTAACGAGGGCGATTAGTTTATATGGTGAGTGTTCTTTCAGGTCAGATGGTGAGAGTATGGATCTGCCGAACTCAAAGAACCTGCTTGGGTTCCCAGCGGAACAGGCACAAAGTATATCTCTGCAGTTTCATACATTTCCAGACAGAGGCGACAATCCAAGTCTGTGCATGTGATGATTCAAATGACAGTGACCTGTAAGAAGGCCAGTTAGACATCGTAGTTAATCCCTACTGTAGTCCAACAACTGTTTGGAATCAAGCTTCGAAGAGTGAATAAACGCCTTAGAGTGAGCCAATCCTGGAATATTCTGCCAGAAGTCCATAACTCTTCTTGCCATCCAGGTGTTAAGTGTTTGCTTGGCAAAGCCCGAAGCGATGCCAATGACAGGTTCTGATGCAATGAAGCCGCTTGCGGCACCCTCCTTAGCAAGAGAGTCAGCAGCTTCATTGCCTTCCAGGCCGTATGGCCAGGAATTCAAACCAGAGACAATCTGTTCAGTCTTTCTATCGAGGAGAGTTTTTTTTGGCAGGTTGCTACCAAGACGTTGCTCGGTGGGAGCCAAGAGCTTCCAAGGCCGCTTGACTGTCTGAGAATATTTTTATTGACTTGTGAGTGACATTGAATTCATTCAATCTCTCCGCACACAATTCAATAGCGTAAATTTCCACTTGAAATACAGTCGCATAAGTTCCTAGGTAGGTAGATAACTCTGTCTTGGGTCTGCGACTGAAAACATTTGCACCAGAAACGAGAGATCCATCTGTGCAGTTTGGAATTTGTGGAATTTGGGACAATACTGATCCACATGAGATCTAAGAGCGTCAAAAGTATTTCGAAAAAATCACTGTTTGGTGTGAATTTTGGTCAGGTGGCGTCATTGGTCCATATTTCTTCGAAAACGGCGTTGGCCAGGCCATCACTGTCAACGGCGAGCACAATAGATTGATGATTACCAACTTTTTTTGACCTATTGACCTTTTGATCTGGACATCAACGATATATGGTTTCGAAAGGATGGCACTACGTACCATCGTTGAAACTACATGTCGTTGAAACCACATATCGTTGAAACCACACATGTTGCAACCACATATATGTGGCAACAAGATAGTACGTAATGCCATCCTGTTACCACTCATCTCATACCATATTGCATATTCTGCACGAGCGATCAAAGGACATGGTCATCTCACGTGGAGGTGATGTGAATCGAGATCGTGTCATTCAACCCCATTGGACTGTTTCTTATGAGGTGTTCTCAAGTCGTAGGTATATACCAATAAGCCACAAACGACAGCCGTCCCCAAAACCAACATAACACATGACATCTGACAAATTCAGCCTGATGGCGGGCCAAAGTCATAGAAAGTTCCACCCAGAGGAGCTGTAGTGGACATTTGAACGATGTTATATTCCACACATAAAGGCTTCAATAGATCTTTTGAATGAAAACAAAAATAGTGATATCCCACACACACTTTGTTTTATTTAAATTTTGAGATGAGCGCTCAATGTAAGACCATTTGCTTTGTTCTTCACGACGTCGTGTTTCTCATAATATTCTCATTAATTCATATTTTATTTCAGCACTGATATAAATTATTCTCTTCATTCAAGCCTGATACTCCCCTGGTGTATACCCAGAAAAGCAAAATGACTCCAACAATATTTTTTCACTCAACAGAGTGAAATGAATAAATTCCACCCCTCCAGGCACCCCTGATCCGAAGGCAACATTTCCATTTCCGAGATTTCTTCGAGAGATCGTAAACAGAAAGAAAACTGCAACGGGGACAATTTCAGAGCTACAAAGCTATGTTAATGAAGGCGCATAATAATAAAGGTCCTTTGCGTGCTTTATATCGTCCTTTTTTCATTCTAAATGGGACATTTTGCACATTATTATCACATTTGTTTCTGGACTGGCGGCCGTAACTAACCCGCAATTTCCAAGTTTTCTCCTAATCATTTGCAACGAGCCTTTGCCTATGTTCCTGGTTCATGCAATATACTGTGTTTTATTCAAAATAGTCTTTCGATATTTTTTTTGTGTTGTCATCATTAGAACTAACAAAATATCAATGTCACCTCCTTTTATTAGAAAAACTTTGAATTTTGATATTTATTTTCTGTTTCATATACCTTCTATCTATATTAATCTAAATGTGAATGTTTCTTTAGATGGATCAATGTGTAGGTTTTGCCATATTTGTGGATACATTTGTGTGCAAAATCAGTATTAGTCGTATACATTCATTTTGTGGTATACATACACGCGTATACCACAAAATTCTGACCATAATTTTTGAACTCTACGCCTAAGATTTGATCAGATCGGCTAGAATCTAATTTTTTCGAGTGTAAGTATCCACAAATGCCTTTGGTGGCCGATAGCTTACACACGAATATTTGTGGTAACCCCTCACTTTGCTGCTTTGAGCGCCCCCAGTGGCGTGAAAGTGAACTATTGTGTATTCATTTGTGGATACCCGGTGAATACTCAGCTTCCATTTCAATTTTATATCGCAGTTTGGAAGTGAAACCTGAATTCCAATATTAGTGGAACCTCAGCCAAAATCTAGTCTCTTAATTGAATATGTTTCATAACTAATTAGACAAGTCCTTACCAATAATCATAAAATGATATCGACCACCGGTCAGTAGCCAGGCGGTTCGACGTAGCTGCTTTATTCACTCAGTCAATCGGCCGATGTGTGAGTCGGTGGTTCAAGCTTCAGACTGAACCCTCGATTTTCACTTGCTATCGTACAACCCGTGTTAGGAATCACACGGTGAAAGGTAAGACCTCATTAATCCTTAGCTCGAACAAGTGTCGACTTCTGAGGATTGTCGTTTGTAGGGGTGCAACAGACGGTTAACGGAAAAAACATATTTCAAACAAAACCTATTTTGAACAGGAAGGTTAGGTCTTCTTCAAATATATCTCGTGAATTTCTTATCTCTGGAAATGCAATGCCCACATTATTTGCATGTGCCGAGTGTTTCGAATCATCACAGTTAATTTTTCTTTTCGAAGATTATGATTTTTGATTCATCAAAATTGAGAAATTCAAGATGGCGGCTTCGAAATGAGTGTTGTGATTATGGTCCGATTATATTCAAAATTGGCTTACCGAAAAGTGAAAAATGGAAATGATTGAAAAATCTTTGCAAAAACAAGTCTTAATATTATAATAATAATATTGATATCACATGAAAAAGTTTTTATAAAAATGCACTGGAAAGGAAATTGAAACCTAGGTTATTCTGTGAGTTACAGATTCAAAAGGTTGCCTCGGATACAGAATAGGAAATCTTGCGCAGCAACATTTAGAATCTGTTACGCACAGAATAACCTAGATCAAACATGAAAGAAATTATTTTTTATTTTTCAGTGCTTGTTTGCAAAATTTTTTTAAATATCACTTTTTATTGATCATTTATGTAATTTGATGGTTTTCGAATTGAAAATGGATATTTTCGAAAATATTTTGAAGGATAACAATATTTTTCTTTTTGACACGTTCGTTCAATAGAATTGATATTGGAACTCCCTCAAAATCCTCCAATTACCACAATGAATCACTCCCCAACTAAACGGTGGTAACTAATATTTACTGATTTTTTCATGGAGATAGGTACATTAGTACCCCGAATCGGAATTCCCGAATCGGAATATTCGCTAAGCGATCAGATTGACTGTTGCTAATGCTACATATTGTGGCAAATTGATGATAACTTTTTGAACCGACCTCGTATCTCAATTAACGTGCAAACCAAGAAAAACCGAACTGATACTATGACCATTATTTAAATTTTCTCTCCAATCGATGACAGTCTGTGTTTTCCAAGAGAACATGCAACACAAACTCGGCTGCGAAGCATATCAATAAACAAGGTCAATTCGAAAACAGATAAGAAATAAATAAAAACCAATAACGCTTTCTCTTCTCAACAGTTGCAAATTTGTTGACAATGTGGTATTTTCGTGTAATAAACCTAGTTTTTTTATTAAACTTCCAAGGTAAGGAGAATCTTCAGATATAAACAAATTGGATGGAACAAATCTAAAACGATTCAATACCTCAGAAACAGAGCCGAAGGCGAGTGCCGCAAATCAAGCGAGTGAGAAAAATTTCATTTTCTCACGCATTCTACACTATACTTTTTCTACGGTTGCGTTGTTTTCAAGTATAGAAAGTTAAAATACATATATAATAATACTTGTATGTCATTACTTCATTTTTATATTTCATGTAATACAGTAATTAACAGTTATATTTGAACAATTTTGTAAAGTGATTCTTGGTAGGTCGTTTTGTATGTTTTCGGTAATTGAAATATTAGCTGCGGTCGAAGTTCAAGTTGGGGAAACGTACTGAGCTTCCGTAGCATTGTTGTGTTCAGGTTCTGATGGCGCTGAAGGTTGAATGGAGGCTGAATGTATTCTACTATATTTTTTTTAATTTTCATTTTGTCAGCTATGGAGTTGTCGATATAAGATTCAGCAACATTGATGGATTTCCAACCCCCATATCGTTTTAAAGTTAAAAAATCTGCCCCTAAAATAGTCGCAGATTCATTTATCCCCACAGGCTGTTTCGTACATTTGCTATTTTTGTAATAAAAAAACGTGTTTCATTTGTGCATGGTCGAAGCTCCACATATTTTTGTAAATTTGGTAGAATTCTCCTGTGACTGTGAAATTTCTAGGAACCTTGGTTTCAGTATTTTATTAACTGGACCAAATTTAGATCTTCCATGTCGTCAATTTTTAATTTTCGAAGTTCATTAGCCCTGTAAGGCCAATAGCTAAAGCAGCCTGAAATCAAAACCAAACATTAATTTTTTGATAACAATTTAAATATTTTCAATTCATTCATACATACATCAAATACTTATCATCAGGTACATCTTCTAAAAATTGTTGAATTCCTTCAGAAGCTGATGTTTTTGACTGTTTTGGGGCATATTTTTCATATTTGTGTTTCAAAAATGCACGTAGGTTTACATATTTTGATATATCAACACAGTTTTTAATAATGATGATACTCTTCAGCATCGAGTACTGAGACCATAATGTTGATGATTTCAATCTTCTTGACAACTCTTCAAAATGAACTGACAAGGTATTTTCGGAACAAGAATTTACCTTGGCTTTCATTTTCCAGTCCATAAAGTTTCTGTAAGCGATTTCATATTTTTCTCTTGATGTGCTCGTTAGCAAATTATTGCAAACATCTATTGCTTTCTGAATAATTTCTTGAGGTGTATTTTCCAACTCTAAATCTTCGTATTCCATTATATTCAATATTCAATAAATCTGAACTGTTTACTTCATAACAATCAACAATAAGTTGTAAGTTGACAGTAAGTTGACAGCAATAATTATGCAGTGCTTCGGTTTTGTTGTTATGGAAACGCCGACAATGGGCTACTTGAATATTATACGCGAATCGTCGACGTAGCGTTGTCAACATGGAGAACGTGTCTTATCAATCTGACACGTACCAATTCATGAGTGACTTGGGTTATCGTGATAACAGAGAGAAATTATTTCTTACTGTAATGGCGGATATTTCTTACTGTGTGAGAAATCTTTCGTTTTGAACGTATGAAAGCGATGAGAGAAGTGGCACATTCGTAGAAAAAAGCTCTTTTCAATATCAAAAGAATAGTGAAAAAATATCAATCCGCCTTCAGTAAAAAATATTCAATAAATGGAATAATTACTCTTTAAACTTGTTCGTGGAGAGTTTATTTTCCTACATAGTTTTTGTATGAAAATGGAGAAGTGGAAAGTCAAAACCTTCTTTCGAAAAAGCATTGTCTTCTTAAAATATACCCGGTTGAGTTGCATCAATCCCCATTTTGACTGACCTACTTTGTAATTTTTTTTCTGTATCGAATACATATACCACGACTCTCCTTCGAATATACCAGTGAAACCAGCAGATATAAGTGAATGAAATCAGTTCATTTCTTGATATACAAAAGTGAATAATTTTCAAATAGCTTGTCTTTGATATCCATATATGTTTTGTCCATTTTTCAGCTGATTCAGTTGCCTCTTCCTCTCATATCACAGGCAGAAGGAGGTATTTCATAGGAACTGATAAGGTTTGTGAAAATATCAATGAATTTTCAAAATACCGTCTGAAACACCTTATTAATTTCATGAATGAATAGAAGTTACAGGAAGCTGCGTGAATATTATATTGTTCAGTATATATTATCAGTTTGATATCACAGATTTACCGGCTGATCTATCAAAACCAGTGAGAAATAAACAAGAAAACTAGTTAGATATTTTTTTCAGGTTACTGGAAATCAAGCAGTCGAAATGTGTCGGCGAAGATCCATGAAACTTGCTAGCATTCGGAACGAAAAGGAAAACAATGATATATACAGGTTTTTGTCACAGCAAGGTTAGTCAAGTTTGAAATAAGAAATTGATGGGTGGGAAATCATCATGAAATGAAATTTTGTATGTTTTTCAGCACTTCAATTTGTAACTGCAGTTTCGTCCTGTAGGGACATTTTCGAACTCATTAATTGAACCAATGTATATACTCAACATCAAAATAATGTATACATTTATTATATAAGTTTGAAAATGTCCTAATAGGACGAAACTGCAGTGACATTAGTTACGAATAAAAGTGGTAAAAACATAGAAAGTTTCAATTTAACAAGAATAACCTGGGGTTATCGATAGAGTCAATAGATAAAACTCAAACTGTTGTAGAAAAACACTTCTCCCACAACCGAAAAAATATTATGTCTTGGCGCGTGTTTGGTTAGCATCATCATCAGAAGACGAATTGACAAGTATCTTCATATAAACATATCTCAGATATATCTTTTATAATTGTGATGCTCTGTTTGGAACCTTTGGTGTAATAATGAATATTACTGATGTTCCATCCCAACACCGAGAAGAAAAATTGATCTTTCTCTTGAATATGTCACTTTATGATCGAAACACGTGTCAAAGTATCAAAAATAACAGTTTGGGATTGGGATACAACTCCAGTAATATTCACCTGTTACAATACCTAATTTTCTAAAGGCGAAGCTCTCTGGCGTTAGCGGACATGGAGATCCTTCAAGATCTACCTCCTCTCCATATTTCTTTGGAGAGAGAGGCTAGATGGACTGCATAAAGACTTGTGCACGTTGCCAATTGCACAAATCAATTGGATCCTCCAGGAGCAGGAAATATCAAGAGCAGATTGTTGTTGTTCACCAATGAATCAAAAACACCTCCTGGTTCTGGTGCAGGTGTTTTCAGTCGCAGACCCAGGACAGAGATATCAACCTGCCTAGGAACCTATGCGACTGTATTATGAAGCTCCATAAACAAGTCGATAAAAATATTCTCGGGCAGTCCAGCGGCGTTGGAAGCTGCTACCGAGCAACGTCTAAATTAGTGGCAAATTGCCCAAAGTAACTCTCCCCGATAGAAATCCTTGACAGGTTGCCTCTGGTATGGTTTCCTGGCCATACTGGCCTGGAAAGCAATGCGGCTGCTGACTGCCTTGCAAAGGAGGGTGCTGCAAGCAGCTTCATCGGACAAGAATCTGTCATTGGCATCGCTTACGGCTTTACCAAATAAAGACTGGAAACCTGGATGACAAGACGATTTGTAGATTTCTGACAGAATCCATCTTCCTGGATTGGCTGACTCCAAGGCGTTTATTCACTCTTCGAAACTTGATACCAAACAGTTGATGTTCTACAATAAGAATGAACTACGATGTCTAATAGGTCTTAAATTGTCACTGTCATTTGAATCATCATATGCAGAGTCTCGGATTGTCGGAAGACAGTGTGTTGCCCCTGTTTGGAAAATGATGCAGAGCAGAGTAAATTCATAGGAACATCTGACTTCGTTATGGAGTTGGGTTTATTTGGTATAGTATGAATAGTTGTGAGCGACAATAAACCCTTGCTGATTGCGGTGGAGGGTCGAATTGACCCACTCACTTTGGACCTAACCTAACCTATCTTCATTTATTACTTACGGAAGGAATGTGAAAACTTGTTGGTATGTACCAGTCACAACAATTTCAAGTATTCCTCACTTACTATGTGGCGGTACTTGGAGACATGTCGAGCGACACCAGACTCCTCTGGTCTATGAAACTGAAAATGTCGAAGCTACAATTCCAAACCCAGTTCTATTATGTAGCTCAGATACATTGGCCTAGCATTTGACCATCTGCTATTCACTCGTTCTATGAACTTTTCGTTAGTCTTCTGTTAAGTGATCAACTTTCATTGAATTCGACATCAACAAATTCATGACTTTCTCTGATTCCAATATAGATTAGTGAGAGTAATCTCTGTTGACAAGCGGCATTAGAAGCTCCTGGCTACCGAGCAACGTTTCAATTGGTAGCATATTGCCAAAAACGACTCTCCTCTTTAGGATGACTTAACAGATTCCTCTGGTCTGGATTCCTGGCCATATTGGCCTGGAAGGCAATGGGGCTTCCGACTGCCTTGCAAAGGAGAGTACTGCAAGCAGCTTCATCGGGCCGGAATCTGTTATTGGCATCGCTTCAGGCTTTGGGCTTTACCAAACAAATTTTGAACACCTGGATGGAAAGAAGATTTATGGACTCCTGGCAGAATTTTCCTCACTCCAAGCTTCGAATCTTAATACCAAACAGTTGTTGGACTACAGTAGGGATGAACTATGACTAACAGGCCACTGTCATTTGAATCATCATATGCAGAGACTCGGACTGTCGGAAGGCAGTGTGTGCCGCCTCTATTTGGAAAATGATGCAGAGCCCATACTTTCTGCCTGCCACGCTGGGGATCAAATCAGGTTCATCTGGTGGAGTGTGAATAGGTGTGAGCCGCAATAAACCCTTGGCGGAAGGTCAAATAGACCCACTCACTCTGTACCTGACCTAATCTAACCTATTGTCTGAATATAATAATAATAATGTAGGGCATTATTACATTGTTGCTCGAGTAACACGTTCGATGTTTCCAGGACCAGAACGAATGTATCGTCCGCATATATCGTGAAATGAACAGAGGAATCTGCTAAGATTAGGTCATTCGAGTAAATTAAGAATAATATGGGTCCCAAAACTGATCCCTGCGGAACACCAATATCTATAAAGAGGCGATTAGAGTTTGTGCTACTTATATAATTTCCTCTGACATCCATCATACTGACATATTGTTGCCTGGCACTCAGGTAGAATTCCATCCAAACCAGAGCCGGACCCTCAATGCCTACATTGGCTAATTTTTTCAACAGTAATTTGTGATCGACACATTCGAATGCCCTGCTGAGATCACAAAATATCCCAACAGGGCATTGTCCCATGTCCATAAGCCGTGTTAAGTTCTCATAAAATGAGTGAATAGCTGTAGTGGTGGACTTTGATCCCTGAAATCCATGCTGATTAGTTACAATTATGTGATTCAGTTGTAAATGTGCATTCAGTCTTTCCACGTAACTATATTCAAAAATTTTCGAGAATATTGAAGGGATAGTTATGGGTCGATAATTTTCAACACATGTAGGGTTCCCTTTTTTAAAAACTGGACAAACTTTACCGATTTTCATATAATCCGCCATTTGCAAAGGATAAATTAACAAGATATGTCAAGGGTGATATTATTAGAGGAATTACTTTTTTCAACAAGTATGCAGGAATTTCATCAAAGCCATATGATTTTTTGTTCTTCAACTTTCTTTGTTTGTACCGAACCTGATGAAATATATGAATTCCGGTATATGCGCTCAGTTCGTTTCTTTATTTTCAGATTTGAAAGGCGGTTTTTATGTTTCGGGAAAGAAACTCAGTTATGGAGGTGCATTCACTTGGTTAGACGGAAAGCCTTTGGAGTTTTTCAGTTGGAATGCAGGGGAGCCAAACGGCTATCTTGAAACAGAGAGCTGCATAGATGTTTTCATCGTCAAGGACGTTCTCAAATGGGATGATCAACCTTGTGAATACCCCGGGTTCTATCTCTGCGAATCTATGGATGATCCTGACATTTCCATAGATGAAGACGACTCTTGCCCGTTCAAGAAGAGCAAAAAACAGAAATATTACCTCGGAACGGAAAAGGTTTGTATTAATTGGTTGATCAAGGGATCAAAATGTAGCATCATGTATTTCCAACTAATTTTTTATATGTATCATGAAGACAATTAGGTAAATGAAACGAGAAATGTAGATATTCAGATGGATTGGAAAAAAGTAGCAGCGTATTAGGTTGAAACCCTTATTCTGCGAGACCTTGGTTTTATCTTATTTCAATAATGTGAACTCCGTTTATGGACCAAATTCAACCAACCAATGTGAACAAAAAATTCAGAAGGTACAGAGTTCTTGCCTTCGGTTAATATATGGAATAAGGAAGCGAGAAATAATTTCCAACAAGATATGTGAAACGGGTTTGTTGAATATGGAAAACAGAAGATTTCTACATTCTGGAAATCTCTTTCATAAAATCATCCTTACCGGAAGACCATCCTATCTTCACCAGAAAATAACATTCCGCACTGATGTTCGTAATGTCAATATTAGAAATCGAGGAATATTGTCCCCACCCCTATTCTGAACTAAACTCTTCAGGAGATTTGCAAGATATATAATCTCATTCCACCAAATTTGAAAACAGGAAGTATCCAAACTTTCAAAACCCAACTTAAAAATCTTTTGTTCAGGACTTATCAGTAAATTTTTATTCATTGTTTTCACATAACAAGGTTGAAAACTGCCTCTTTCACCAAAAACTGTATAGACATTTTTTAATATTTTTTTATACATTGTTATTTTGTATCATTCAACAGGTACGCATAGGTATGTTTCAGGGTTGAGCGGAAGAACAAGAGGGTAGTACTCTCAACTGCCGAGTTGAACTTCGCCCTTTATTTTCTTAAATAAATTTTAAAGGGTTATTTTTATTTAAATGTATTAAAAGAGGAAATGAAGAAGTCGTTATTATTATTATTATATATGATATATATGATAATTCTTCATTGTGGTATTTCAACTCAACGAATCAAAAACCGCAATATGTCGTTTAAATAAAAATAGCTTTTTCATGCATATTCTTACTAATTGTTGTGGTTTCATGAAGTCTGAATAATAGATTTATGGATTGTCATGCAATTTTATCACATATCTAATTCCATCAAGTAACGAGGACTGTTCAAAAAATAAGTTAAAAATTCAAAATTTGCAGGCTACGTGCAGTCGATTAGCGTATTTATCAGATTTGGCCACCTTTGGCGGATTTTTCCTACTTTCAACATTGGAGAGATCCCTGATAAGATGACGTTTTGCACTGATTGAAAAGATGAAAATTGAATCGCATAGAGAAGCTCAAGGACATAACAGAAAGTGCATATCAGGATCGAGGATTGTAAAAACAAGTGTATCTGAGGGGAAATACTTTGAGAAAAATAGAATATAAAGTGATGAATAAATGAATATTTTTTGGAAAAATAAAAAAAATTCACCTCATTTTTTGAACTGACAGCGTATTTCTCTAATTTCCTGAATCAGATGATTGGAATTAATATTCTGCAAAACAATGATTCAAATGCTCTAAAATTGTTCTACAGAGGAAATCATATGCTAGATTTCTCAATGAGGTGCATAGCCACCTTACATATGACATTGTACTTTGTGGTAATTGGAGCCATTATCCTAGAATTTTTCTGATGCAGAAACGTTCTGTCAGAATCATATTTGGATTGGGCCCGAGGAATTCATGCAAATCTCCATCTACGAGATTGAGAACCATGATAATTCCTTCAATTATCATTTTCAGGATCTCAAATCATAAATGTAATACCAGACATAGAGACTTCTTTTCAAATAAGAGGATGAGACTAGAAATATCAATATCAATCCTCGATTTGAATATTCATGAAAAGTCACAAGTAAATCAAGAAATTCGAAACAGCAAAGTTCAAAATGTAAAACAATAAATACATGTGTTATAATATAAGAGATTAAAAGTTCAAAGTAGCAATAATTGATGATTTGTAATCTGTTACGCTTCACTACATTTCTCATAATAGTTTTTTGTGTGAATGTATATGAATATGTGGGTATACTCATAATCATTTTGCTATATAATCTTCCATAAATGTGGCTGTATATTACGAAGTCAATAAAATGATCTATTTATCCATGGTAAGCTGTTAATACATCTCATGCCTCGCTTAACATATTAGTTCTGATTCAAGATTCAGATAACCTCTAATAGTGCTCTAGTTTTTAAGGTCTACTCAGTAAGATCGATCATTTAGGACAACGATGAAGTTGAAGTCTTTTCTAAAGGAAAATGTCCGTATTCCACTAATAGAGTTTAATGATATTGACGCTTTGTAGGATTTGTAGGATAGATTTGTCGCATGAAGAGTCGTGATAGAAAGATTCGTTGTCTTATGAGTACTGGTAGCAGGATTTCCAAAATGGGATGGATAGAATATCAAAAATTGCAATTCCATCACTGAATTACATCCACTCATGTCTGTCTCGAATTGTATTGCAATGATATATTAGATGAACAAGATTTGATAAAGCTATCATTAATGAATAATGGTTGGCGAATGACATAGCTTTTAGTCAGAAAATGACCGTTTTAGAAAAATGATTTCTCTCCAGTTTCTCTTCTTCCCAAGAAAATTGGACCGTTAGAAAACATATATAATTTCATCTAATACTAGATAACTACTGCGTTCCAAGATTCATTCATGGTTTTTCCAAATTTTCAGATGACATATTTTGATGCAATTCAATACTGTGAGAAAATGTTTATGCAACTGGCTACAGTTGAAACCGCAGAGGAAAACTTCGATATATACACCTTGATGCTTGTGAAAGGTAAGTGATTCTATCTTCATATAGGTATATTATATCTCTCTCTGCTGTGATGGTTTGGCCTGGTTGCAGAAAAATATAGTTGATCACACCAGCCGTTGGCCATCATACAGTAACCATGTACTTTTTTGGTGGGTCCAAACACTGCTCTAAACATTTCCTGTTGTAGATAATCCACTTTTCATAAAACGTGCCGATCTGATCCAAATCAAGATTGTTTTGGTTGCGCAGAAGCAAAGAAAAACAACCTCGCAACATGACAACTTTGGTCGATCGCTGAAATCATAGAGGACTTAGTTGTTGAGCTATTTGACATTTCCAATGCGGTTTTTACCATCGAAAACCGCACAGGAGCAGACGCCCAGTTCTTCCGCTATCCCACACACCGTTTGAGATGGGTCAGTCTCCACCAAGGTTCACAAGTCCTCGTCCTGGATAACTGTAGGTTGACCACTTCGGAGCTCATTTTCAAAGCTAAAATGAAATATCGCAAATTATCTTCGAACAGTGCGTTCATTAACACTATCATTGTCAATGCCTGGTTGATTTTTCGGACTGTTTGGGCAAAGCTTCGGTTCAATTTGTATTCGTTGAGTAAAATTGGTCGAAAATCACTCAACGACATCCTATATTAAGGAGCTGATGGTCTGGGTCATAAGATCCTTTTTTTGGAACTTTTGTCCAATAGCACCGATAATTATGATCCAGAGCTCATTCGACTCGAAATGACCTCTAGCAACTTTTTGAAAAATTTCAAGAGGGTCTCGAAAAAATTGAAAAAGTTATAAACAATTCAGTAAAATAAAAATGATCAAAATAGTTTAGAATTTTGCGGCTGAAGTTTTCAGTGTCACTGTTTTTTGAGTTTGAGAGTCGTGGATTTTTAGAATTTCTTCCTTTCTTTCGCTGGCACGAGTGGCTAGTTTCTTCAGAGGTTTAACCATCTTGGCTTGCTGTCCAATGACAAAATTTTTGGCTTCGTGAAGCTTATTTATGCCTTGTCAGGTAATCAGTTGTATTTGTACCAGAACTTGTACTTGTACCTGTTCTTGTACCTGTACTTGTACCTGTACTTGAAACTGGAACATTAACAATCTCGCCGCCTGTCGTCATTCTGTTCGTTATTCTCGAATTCCTTAAAATGGTGTTCCATATTCGATTGAGGTTCACCGCTTCTTCTTTTCTGTTGAAATTCTCCGTGTGTTTGTGAATCTCTATTGTCTCCCGTACCAGTCGGCTATGGTATCTCTGGTTGGGGGCAATTGTGCATATTCAGCCACAGCTATCCGTTTAGTCTAGTCTGCAGTTCCTCTTATGCTCTTTCAGTCTTGTTCCCATGGATTGTTTGGTGGTTCCGATATATACCTTCCCACAAATGCACGGTATGGGATAGACGGTCAATCGCATACCGTGTACTTGTGAAATATCAGTTGATAGATTATAATATATTAGTTAAAATTAGCAAATATACATTAGTTAATTGAGTAATTTTTACAAGTTTTAAAATAGCATAAAAACCCTGATATAAACAAAACATACTACAAAAAAAATAGAGAAATATTTTTTCACACAAAATGTAACACATGATTGTTTTGTTAGTTTGATAGTATTGAAAAAATCTTGGGAATTCATTCGTTCAAAATAAATTGTTCATTGAATATTTATTCAAAAAATAAAATATAAGTTACAAAAAAAGTTTTTTCCCAGAATATCATAGAGAAAAAGAAATTATGATTGAAAAAAGTAGTCGTTTTCTACTATTCATATGAAGTAGCAAGAAAAGTTGATCAACAAATGCGTTTTGAAGCAATAAAAAACGATTTTGTTTCCTAAAATCATAATATAATGAATTTATGATAGAGATCATAATATGATGAATATAATGATAGAGATCTCCCAAAAAAATTTCAAATGTCTTATTAACAATACATTTGTCAATATTTTTTTTTAACAAATAGAGCGAATAATTAAGAAAAATAATTTTTATGTAACTTCAAATATTAACAATGCGAATAAATCTGAATATTTTAATTTCATTGCTTCACTTTTTAACAGTTTTGATTGTTAATAACAAAGTGAAGAATCCAAATTTTTCAATTTTTGCAACGCGAATTCTTTCTGAAAGGTTTCAAGAAAAGCTCCAAGAAGTGAAAAAAATTTGAGGTTATTAGTTCAAAAATTATCAGGGTTTTTATGTAAAAAGAAATAATTAACTCAAATGTCTAGAAGGTATGTTAATTTTTTTTAAATAATTTTTATTGTTCAAAGGTCCGTATCGGTTAGCGCTCACAGGACGCGCATCGCCCGCTTTTAGCGCTATTTTCGCCTCTGAATCAAAATTATAAATATTGGTAATAGACTTCCGAGAGTAGAGGCTTTTTTTTTTAAAAATTTTCTCTTCTTTGAGGATTCATTTTCAAATTTCAGATATCTTTAATATTTTCCGAGATATTCGCAAAAAGCGAAAAACAAAAAAAAACAATTTTCTCGAACCCTTGACATTTTTCAAAAAGTTGCTAGAGGTCATTCCGAATCGAATTAGCCCTGAATCATAATCTTCGGTGCCCTTGGACAGTTCCAAAAAAGGATCTTGTAACCTAGACTATGAGAAGAGGCATAAACTTATAATTTTTGAAAAAAGTAGCAGTATGAATGTATATATTAAAACATTCTCTATAGAATACTGTATCCCACGACACAGTAGAATGAATATTCATTGAGATATGGAGCAACAAAAAAACATGACATCGAAACGGATAAAACTATAGAAACAATCCAATAGCTGTGACATTATTTTGTTTTAATCAGCTGGTTCTCAAGACGCATACGTTTTTGATTTAAAAAGCGGTGTGAGTACGGTCTAAATGATTTTGTTGTATTGCATGTTAGCGGAGTGTTATTTGCTCACTGATATTCTTCTGTGGTGAAAATTTTCAAGGAATATTTCAAGGTCATTTACTAGTTGGGTGGCACATGAGAAATCATTTCGGTCTCCTTTCTATTTTTTCGCACAATATATTTTTCGAAACTCCTAAGCAACCTTTAATTTTCGCAGGTTTGAATGGTGATGGTTATTGGATTGCCGCAAATCAAAGACTTGGTTCTAACGTCTGGAGGTGGCTCGATGGAACACGACTCAAATATTTCAATTGGAATGATGGAGAACCAAACAACGATAGACCAAGAGAAAATTGCATAACGGTTTTCAGAAAAGACATGGAATCAAAATGGAATGACGACCCTTGTGAACACCAATATTTTGCTATCTGTGAAAAAGTAGAACCCAAAGTAGAAATTCATGTTAACAAACAATTACTTTACTCAGAAAAACGAAAATCGTACCCAGAACAGTCGGACGTTTTGGAAATATTTTTGGATCTGCCAGAAAATGATTATCTTCTAGGATGGAATATTGTTAGGAAATGATTTCATCAATAATTTTTATTGTTTACAGAACGAAAAAAAAATTATTCAAAATCATTTTGCTAAGCAATATGAATAATTCAAAAATTATATTGTACAATTCCGTATATAAATTGTATCCATTCGATGTTACAAAAAAAAACAGAAAACAAATTGTAGACTAAGCTCAGTATTCATCTCTTCATAACTGCTCCACGAAAGTTGAGAAATAATATTATCAAATTCGTATCCCCAATTTCTTATAAGTTAAATTACGCAACTAAAATAGAAAAAAAATGTATTCGTGTTTAGCAGAAATGATTCCACATATTCATTCATGAGCTTCGTTCACGAGATCACCGTAAAGAAGTATTTACAAGTAAATTCACTCCTGGTCGGTGTCTTTGATGTATTAGGTCGAGATTTTATTTTTTGCTGGCGTGTTGCGGGGCAAAAGGGTGTTGGCTAAGAGCTATCGTGCACCTCTGCACGAAGTTCGATCAAAAAATATGTGACCTTGATCTGACTTCATCTTTGCTACGAGTAGCTTCCAAAAAATGTCACATATGATTATGAAATATTTAGGAATTGATAAAAAATAAAACAAGGTGGTGAAACGTATGTTTTGTATAGTAAGATTATACAATTTAGATCAAAAATTTATGCTAATCTATTCTGAAGGTTTTCCAGAATGATGATTCTTTTATTTTTTTTTTTTTCGTTCGTTTACAAATTTTTATTGGTAAATTTCAAAGTATAATAAATTCTAACCTTGTGAAAAGAGAAAGTAAATAATCTAAAGGAAAATTATTACTAGGGTGAAAAATATTGATTTTTGAAAACATTGTTTTGAGCTGGTTGCCTATGCAATCAGTGGCATATAAATTGTTGAAATGAATGAGAAATTTTATCTCTAGATGAATGATATTTCGTAAAAATGAATGTGGAGGCATATATAAACTTCCAAACTGTTTGGCTACTGTATTACTATATGCCTTCAAATGACTATATACATTTGTTTCGTTCAGTGTGGTACTAGCCGCCGTGGCAAAATTTGAACATATTTCACATGAATGTTTTCTTGAACATTTTCTCAAAAGATATCCACAAACATAGCCCAAGCTGTTGCCTTCTGGAGTGGCTAGAGTTTTATAATCAATCACTACTCTCAAAGTTTTACAGGGATTTTATGGAACTTTCACAAAAATCTTCATTCTATTTATCTCAGCATCTGTAATACTAAAACCGTTATTCTTACCTGGACGAATTGTAAGAAATGCATTTTATTTAGACGGCTATGTCTGGTTGATGTAAAATATTTCTCATGACACAATCTCTTGTGTATATGTGACAATTTTTCCGGAGGAACATCACCAACAAACTCCACGAATTGCTTTCACTGCATGCATCTAGAGAATGTTTAAATATAAATAACAATAATCTTTGTTGGCCCCAAGAAACATTAGTGTTTATAGTAAGGATCTTTTTCAATTGAAAAATATAAATGAATATAGGTATTAAATATATTGAAGCAGAATTTGATGCGTAACTTAACTCATCAACTTAACTTAACAGTTAAGAAGTAACTTAACAAACGTTTATTTCGTTTGGTTTTGAATCGTATTTCTGAAATATTTGGTTTTATATTATTGAGTTGGTTGTTGTAAATCAAAACTTCAGTATGAAATACAGATTTCATAGTTTAGGGTTTCCTAGTTTGTTAATTATGAAGTGTGTTAATCGAATGAAATTCTAATATTTTTTGTTATCGATATCAGAATCTAAAATAAGACATATTTGCTATTTATTGCAGATTATGTGAAACATATAAATGTAAAGTAGGTGCCAAAAATGTTTTTTAAATATAATTTGATACTTTGGTTTTGCAGAGATTTTTGTGGAAGTGATTGTTTCTCTACAGATAAAAATCAAAAACTCGATGTGGTTCAACAAATATTTTCCTTTGTGGATTTCCAGTGGAACTGGAGGCATATACTATTCGTAAAATTCAATTTCATCAAATTACTTCAATCTTACATAATAAATAATAGTAATGGAAATCGAAAAAAATTAATGCCGATATCTTCCTGCAATTACAACAACCCACAGCTCGACACCTTCTCATTTTGAAATTTCCACAAATACAAAACCACCACTTACAACGACTCACTCTGTAATAATATTCCATGCCTCAACTTGGCTCGTTTGGTCAGTTGCGCTGTAAGTTGACTGAGCATAAAATTCGAGGTGGGGAATTTTGACCTAAATATGACGGAGAGTGAACTTGCTTATTTTTGCTTCCCTACGGTAACGAGATGGAGCTGATAGTCTTCCTCTCAGACGAAGTTTCCATACATGCAGTCGTACCGCTTTGAAATTAATCGAGTCTCAGGCACACTGTTGTTTGGTAGGACCGTTCCTGCATTGATGAGAGGTAATACCTCGAAACCGGTCCTGCTGCTGGATGATCGAGAAACATTTACAAGACTGACCTGCATGAGGTATCTTGCATAAAAATCTGTCGGATTTATTTCAATATTCAACGTGGTTTCAGCCGGGAAAGTAGGCAGGCAGGCATTTACCAGAACCTACTCTGTAGGTATGTTGGGATAGATGGATAGTTCGAAACTCAATTTCGAAATATTGATTTTCATGTTTATTGAGATACTTTCTCCACAATCGAACAGGAATGCTATCTCTCGACGCGTGTCTTTGTAATCATCTGATGATGTTAACATGGTTAGCGAAACGTACATCAAGAGAGTCTTTACCAGAATTTTCATTCTTGAAGATCAGTTGTTTGATGAATTAGCACTTGAAAGCCAGATTATTTCCTTGCAAGTTTTTATTCTCTTGTTCCTGTGGTAAGTTCGAAGAAATCTTTTCTACGCCATTAACATTCTAACAACTATAATTTTTTGTATGGCTTTTCCTTTTCTGATAGGAACTAATGTGCTCCGTTCATATATCAATATCAAGACAAACTTCAGTTTCACGAACTTTGTTTTTACTGCACTATTAAATGATGTGTGGCGTAGCTACTGCGAAAGAAACAGCTAAAGTTAAATTTATTGGAAATGAATAACGGCGTCGTATCGATTCCAGTACATCTCCTCCCTTTGCATGTTTTCAATTCTGACACATGATTAGTGGAAGCGACTAACCGAATTGATCGTGACCATTTTAGACACTTTAATAACACCTCTCCGTTCAGCCGTTCGTTAATCGAGAATATGTAATTTTCGAAAGGGTTTTCCTTTTCCGCCGATGAGCAAAACAAAATGCGATAAAAGGTTCGCATGCATGCGATAAATGAGAAATAGTGCAGTCAAATAAAGTCTTTCCACTGTCTGGTGGCAGGTTTTTGTCTTCTATTATTTATTTTCACAAAATATTTCGTAACTTGTGTCACACGAAACCATCAACTTATATTTCTCATCGTCGCCATTGGTTAATAATATAATAATAATGAAGAAATGCCTTTACTCATCATATTCTTCAATGGTTTACAAATGCATTGAACAAGAATGATGAATGGGCGGGGTTCAGCTATTAAAGTTGCTTTCAACCCCAACATTGGATGTACATACTCAATCTATAAGATCACAAAAACCTTCAATATTAATATATCTGTATAAGTAAAGTATAATAGATAAACGGAGTAGGTGAAAAAAATATTGATAATAAAATTAATAAGTAAAGTGGCTGTATAATTGAATGTTTGAAATACAAACTGAGTAGAGAAAAGTATCTTCTGTATAATCCAGTGTTCATATAGAAGTATTTGTTTCGAAAGAATTTTTTTTGCTTCCGTGTAATTCAATGTTTATATGAAAGTAGCTATTTCAGAAGGACTTTCTTTCAGTTTGTGGCTGAAAGTTATTTCTTTGCATGATCTACACATCCATGTATAGAGTTACTTATTTTCAAATTGATTACTTCCTTCCTTTCTCTGGAAGATTCTCTCATCCCTTTTTTTGTATCAGATGGAGTAGTAGAAAGCCAAAAACTTCCTTTCCCAAAAATTAATCACTCCTAAAAATATAACCCCTTCAATTTAAATAATTTCATATCGTTAGGATTGGAGCCTGTTTGAACATGTGCCAAAAATCATTTCAAGAGTCGTCAGATAGTGAAGACATTATAACCTTGTTCAGAGAAAGACTTTCAAACGTTTATTGAAATGTCTCAAACTGGGGTCTTTGAGTTCATGTGGTAACCTATTGCATAGTTTTGCTGTGCTGTATGAAAAACTAAGTGTGTATAATGCGGTTCTATGTTTCGGAATGATCATTAGAGGTTTATTGATCGAAACATTCTTTCGCGACAAAAAAAGCAATTTTTCCGCAAATGTAATGGTGTTCCTGAGTGCAAAATTTCATACGTTACAGTAAGGAGGTGTGTTTCTCTCATTTGATTGATTTCCAACCAACCTGAGTCAATGAATGAATTACTGATATAGTCATCCCACACAGCACTAGATATTCATGAAATATTCCCTGTATATCATAAAACGAACGTATATATTCCAAATATTCATATAATATTCTTGGAATATATACATGCCTTTATAATATTCATAGAATATGCTTGAATGAATATGGCAGGATTATTCCCGAAAGAATGTGCAAAGAATGTCTATGAATAGATTATTCTCCCTTGAATATTCTAAGAATATTGTCGATCGAATATACCATATGGTATATTCTTAGAATATATCCCCACGGTATATTTTGGAATATTCTATACAATGGAATTTTGAATTATCTTATAATAACGTATTCAAATAATTCAATATTATTAAAAACAAAAATATTTGAAGATCTTAATCGAATTCATAACCTAATGTATATAACCCTGATAGTGTTAACCAGTTTTTGAACTCAACGCAAAGATTCTGGATGAATTGCTCCAACAGCAACTGTTGGAAACGACAAAAAAAATTTGAATGGGCCAATAAATGAACCAATTGCATCAATAAATTGGTTAATTCTCATCCTATTTGTCTTTTTGTATTTGAAATTATTTAATTACAAAGCGAAAAATCCTGGAGAAAGAGAACTGGGTAAGTGAAGAATTGGAGTAAACGTTTCTCATTGGTCAATTGAAGTGTAGCGCGCGACATTCGAATAAGATCTGTGAAAGCGGCTGTCCCTTAGTGCATGGTACATTTGCGTTAAATCCGACATTTGATTCAACATGGCGGTTGACGTGGCAGGTTCGCGTGTGTAATGCCTGGTGTGTTGGTGTTATTATCAAAGTATAATTCTGTCACATTCAGTGTACCATTTATAATTTGGGGTTGTC